CATTAAACATATGTATATACATATATATCAATGACAATATCGATAAATATATCGATAACAGTATCAATAAATACATTTGTAACAGTATCGATAAATACATCTATAACAATATCTATAAATATATCGATAACATTATCGATAAATATAAACATGCAAAATCGATTATTATCGCTATAAAGATCGATATATAACGAAATTTCTTAAATAGTCCCGAAAATTACTTAACAGTCCCGATAATCACGAATTGGTCCCGAGAATCTCGAAATAGTCTTGAAAATCTTGACTTAGTCCCGAGAATCTCGAAAACCTCTGAAATCACGAATAGCTCCCAAATTTAGGTGAGTTAAGGTGTGTTGAGTTTAGGAGAGGTTTGCGAAGAGCAGGTGTGATGAGTTCACTTGTGGTGAGTTAAGGTGTGCTGAATTTAAGTGTGGTTGGATCAGATGTGGTGAGTTTAAGTTGGGTGTGGTGGGTTTGAGTGTGGTGAGTTGGTTTGAGGTAAGGTGAAGTAATTTGTGGTAAGGTTAGTTGAGGTGAGTATAAGGTAAGGTGTTAATTGTTTAAATTTTTCCGACATTTTATGTATTTAGTTTGTAAACCAAGCATGGACAATGACAACATCCGATGAGGCGGCTCTTGGAGTAATCGAGAGAAAGATTTTGCGGAAGATTTTCGGGCCTTTACGCGTTGGCGACGGCGAGTACCGCAGACGACGATACAGCTTGTATGAGCTTTACAACGACATGGACATAGTGCAGCGAATTAAAATACAGCGGCTCCGGTCATTTCGTTCGAATGGACACTCAGAACCCGCCGGTGGTAGCAGAGGAAGAGGAAGGCCTCCACTGAGATGGAAAGACCAGGTGGAGAAGGACTTGGCTTCACTTGGCATTTCTAATTGGTGGCAGTTGGCACAGAAAAGAAACGACTGGCGTGCTTGGTTGAACTCGGCCAAAATCGCTTAGGCGGTTACAGCGCCAAATAAGAAGAAGAAGAAGAAGAAGAAGAAGTTTGTAAACATTTAGCCTTCTACTAAATACCTTAGTATTTTAAATCTTTAAGTACCTGAGTACTTTGCTAAATACTTTAATCTTTTGTATTTTATTATCTAGCAGCTCCTATACACTCAATTCTTTTTTAATTGAGTATTTAACAAACTCCTAAATACGTAAGTTCTTTTTTCTTGAATATTTTGACATCTTTTAATACTAATTATTAGAAATTTAGTACCCAAACTGATACTTTAAATATAAAAGTACTTAGGTATGCCCGTTACTGCCGAAGCGGTTGCGGTTTTCTTCCATATAAAAATAAATTGTGTTTATTCGTTATATGGAACAAATGCTACAAAAAAAATCTAAAAACTTAACGGTAATTTTTAGTCACTTGAAACTTGCACGCTAAAATTGAATGGTCATTAAACCTGCATAATCAAAAAAATTCTAACATTTCTGAGAAAAAAGTTTGAAATTGGTTTTGTTAGGGAATGAACTGCTATTTATTGAAACTTTTTAAAAATAAATAAATAAAAACAAGTGGCAAACAATACAACTTTTAAATGGAGTGCTATTGATATGACCGATACCGTATATATTATATTTTTTATTTGGCACTACAAGTGTTAGTCGGTTTCGGTCGACTGTCTTTCTGATTTGCGAAGTTACGCCGGGTGTTCAAGACGAGAGCATACAGCTCCTTACGCACTTGGTACATCCAGTTCATTCAGAGGCATCCTTGCTTTCGTAGTCCGTAGCAGGCCGCCAGGGGCTCACTTAGAGAGTCAATGAACGTCCATTGTGTTATCCTGGAACGGTACAACAGGTAATCAAATATAGCAATAAAAGCACTGGGTGCTCGTTATGAAAATTCGAAAGCACCTGATATCCATTCAAGATAGTTCCCCTGAAGCAATTATGAAGTAGGGTGCTCTGCCTGACCAGTTTATCGGCACAGGAGTTTCCTGCGATGTCGCTGTAAGAGAGATCAGGCAATCTCAGACCAATTTTGACCTAACCATCAGCTATCTCAAGGCTCTGTTCACCGTTTGGCTGTCAGAGTAATTATTTACCTCTTCAAACGGTATTACACAGGTTCCCGGCCGATCGGCTGCTTCTTCAATAGCAGTTACCTCCCTCTGCTTAGAATTTATTATCTAAGGCAAGTCTCTCACAGAAGACTCCTCCTCCACCTATGTCATTAATCTTCGACCCATCGTGAAAATATCCAAAGGTATTTTGCTTTTGGGATATGTGTAGAGAGGATTGCTCTTGCAGCCATCTTCGGTACACACTGATCGGTTGACGTTGAATTTTACTAAATAGCCGAGTGCCCACTCTCCGTAGAAAGAGAGAATCCAGTATTCTTTAGCCTCATAGCTCAGTCGGCCGCTGCATCTCTGCCTGCAATGTCTACAGGTACGATGCTTAGCACCGGTAGGCTAGTGTGGATCTTTCTAGTGAGTTCCAGCAGACAATGGCCCTATACAGCATAATAGGTTAATGATGGTTTCATACAGACAGAGGATAAGCTTGGGGAGTGATCCTATCTCTTCCCAATGGCGGGATGTCTCTATTCACCGTGCGATGAAAGCAAGCGCTGTCCCATATGACAGTTCTGGCACGTAGAAAGTTTTGAATAAACTAAATAAGACTGGCTTCCACCCCAAGCTTATCCACCGACTTAAAACTATTGCCTCCGGCAGGACATTGATAAAAGCCGAGGAAGGCGTCTACCGCAAAATCTTAATCAGTGAAGGCTACTGCTATCCACCTCACAATTGCGTGCCGGCCGGTTTATACCGACCTTCCTCCACAATAAGCATGTTGAGCTCTTGTTAGACAATCTCGAAGAATCCCGTTCCTTACCTATGAGCAGGTCAACCAGCCTCTCCAACGTTTTCAGTAGAAACTGTGAGGGAATGATTGGCCTGAAGTCCTTAGAGAAACATAAGAACACTTTCCGGCCTTCGAGATGAACACCACCTTGACAACCCTCCCACCCTTGGGAATATACCCGTATCATACGCAGCTCGCGTAGATAGCGGCCAGTCAACAACACGTCACCTTAGCTCTCTTTTCGCATTTCTGATCTAGGAGTTGTAGATTCCCAATCCAACCTTATAAAGCTCCTAAGGTAAACTAAGGCAACTTACTCCTGCGGGCCCTATTTAATAATCGTCTGCTTGACGCCCTAAACTCAGCGGGCATGCGCTTGCAAGAGCATCTCTGCACGCAGAGCTAAAAACTTCGACAAGCTCATAGAGCGAATCCGCTGACCGCACAGAGTTTGTTTCTGACGCATAAGGGTGCGCTCGGCGAAGATTCCTACAGTACAGATCCCACAGATTCCTGAAGGGTTTCGTACTCCAAAGATTCCTGAAGGGTTTGCATGGAGGACGCGTTTAGTCCAAAAATAGTTTGAATGCACTTGTGATCCGAAAAGGAGTGTTCACTCAGAACCTTCCAAATCAAAGTTAAAAGTACTATCTCAGATAAGGCCAGCGTGAGGTCAAGGACCCCTTCCCTGGCGGCTTATAAACGTAGGAGAATTCCCTCTGTTGCAAATAAACAGTATTCACTTAAGATCTACTCAAAAAGTGACTCATCTCGAGAGTTTGCGTCCGAGCTAACATTAGCTTTCCTGCGCTTGACTTCTGCTATAACGTTCCTTAGTTCATCTTTTAGGATGAACTTTGTATCATTATCAAGCTTATTAATTGTATGATGAAATCTCCAAAAACCTAAATTTTGAATTATGTGGATATGTATACCTCTATATTACTAAACGTGCGATATGTTTAAGCAAACAAATTTTGAAATTTTTAGCTTTTGTAGAAAAATCCAAAATATATTGTTTGGTTTGTTCCGTATCTGGCTGGCATAAATATGGGCACCGCACTTATGTACACCATAAAATTTTTTAAAATTAAATATCACTTGCCGACAAAAAATTGGAAGAAACGTCCGAACGCTAAGATTTGCCCATATATAACATGAATGTGTGTAGACCGAGTCCGAATATATTTTTTGGGCTCGTTTCGAATTCGAGGCGAGCTCGAGTATATCAGTTTTCTCGAAACATTTTTTTTTATTGCATCGTCTTCGAGGCACAATCAAGAAAATAGTTTTTCTCGAAAATATTCTTTGTTAGGAAAATAAAACAAATACAATTTCTTTACGTTTTATTTTAGTAAGCCGGCTTTATTTAAAGCAGCAACGGAACAAAGTAAATATCTGCATTTAAAGTGATTTGTAAACCTTGGTTATTTCGTGAAATGGGTATTTACATATAGTGCTGCTAATTAATGTTAAATTATTTGCTACACATTTTCTGATATCCCTAGAAAACGAAACATTCTTCGTTGCTATTGCATTTCTTTTGTACATTTTGTTTATTTTTCTTATAGATTTAATTTCAGATAGCTAGATAGCTAGGTAAATCCTATAAAACTTGGGTCGAAAAAAAATTGCAATCTCAAACCACCAGCGAGCTGAAATCTTGAGTGGAAAAATCAATAATTCTCGAAACGCCAACGATTTGAAAAATAAAAATTATAGAAACTCCAACGATTCGAAAAATAAAAATTCTAGAATCTCCAAAGATTCGAAAAACAAAAAATTCTCGAATCGCCAACGATTCGAAAAATAAAAATTATAGAATCTCCAATGATTAGAAAAATTAAATATTGTCGATTCGCCAGCGATTCGAAGAAAAAAATTTCTCGAATCGCCAACGATTCGAAAAACTAGCAATACTCGATTCGCTAACAATAGGTGACTCTCCTACGAATTCGAATTCGCCGATCTATCTTCGCGAAGTATCGTCGC